ATGGGTGTCAGGGCTCTGTGTGGGCACCTTAGCTCTGCCCCTAACTTCCTAGTGTGCCCCAGGATGGCAAGGCCAGTGCAAATAACCCCGGAGAGCTCGCATAGGCACCTTGTGTTGGGCGGGCATCAGACAAGTGTTTCACAATGCCACAGCCTCACAGCAGCCCTGGCTCAAGGGTGCTGTCATTAGACTTACTTCATAGATAGCTAAAGCAACAGAAGAATAGAGAGGTGAAGTAACTTGCTCTAGGAACAAAGCTGTGCAGACACCTGGACCGACGCAGATTCACCTCGGCTTTTCTACGGTGCATCCGGCTCTTGTGGAGGCCTGTCTAGATATTGTCACCTGTCATTTTCAGAACAGAGCCCTGGGTTCGAATCTGGACGCTGTACTCATGAGCCAGGAAACAGGAGTGTTAAGATGTGCGGACTGTGCAGGTCACACTGCAGGCGAAGAGAAGAGATTCCGGCGCAGAGGCCGGGCAAGGCAGCCGCAAGCATCACGAGCGGGTGCCTTGGGACCCTACTATGAGGAACAGTGTCTTCATCACTTCGGCCAACTGCTCTGACACCGAGGGGCAGCAGCCTATGAGCCTAGTGGCCAAATGCAGCCCACTTTTAGATGGAGCAGAGCTATAGGTAGTTGGAACTTTTTATTTTTTCCTACATGGTTGAAACAAAAGCTAGAGATGAAGAGTTCATGGCCTGTGAAGATGACATAAACTTCAATTCCAGTGCCCACAAGGCTTTACTGGAGCACGGCCTTGCCTGTTCGTTTCCCTATTGTCCTTGGCTGTTCTTACACAATAATGGCCATGCTGCATCCTTCCGACAGAGACCATATGGCCTGAGAAGCCTCAGATTTACCATGTGGCCTTTATAGATGGGCTGTAGGCAAGTCCACACTGCTACGGGATTCAGGCATCCCCCTCTGCCTTCTGTGCAGCCCAAGACCATAACTGGCGGCCCAGTTCTGGATGACAGGCTCTGAGCTGGCAGTTCTCACGGGCACTCAACTGCCCTTCCTCCCCCCACCAATTGCCTCTGCCCTTTGGTTTTGTGCAATCATTTTTCCTCTCTGAACAGTCTGTTTCTTCCTCCCTGTAGCACCACCCCTTCCCCATCCCCACTGCCCCGGCTGCTCCTCACCCTAGAGGACAGATCAGGTAGCTCCTCTTTGTTACCATGGGGAATGGGTGGGGACTTCAAACAGGTGGAAGCAGACCTGGGCTAGAACCAACTCTCCTGCCTCCCACCTGTGTCCACAGTAGGGCGTGGATGCCCACGATGCTTTCTAGCCATCTTCCCCAACAGGGCTCCTCGTTTCTGTCTGTGGCTTCCTGGCTCACTTGTGGGCCCCCTGTCACCTTTTCCCTGTACTCCAGGGGCCCAGACTCAGGCTCTGAGCTCCTTTTTCCTACAACCTGGCCCCCTGGGGGCTGGTCCTGGGCACTGTCCCCCTTCCGTCTCTGCTGTCTGCAGCTTGCTTTCATCAACCAGCTGCAATTTGGATTCTACGTGCTAGAGTGAGCTGACAGAAATAGAAAACAGAACTAGGAGGTTGGCCTCTGATTTCTGTCTATAAAACAGAGCCAGGGAAGACCTCGGGGAAGGGATTTAAGTGTCCAGGGCTGAGTCAATATCCTCTAGTATTAAGATCCTGGATTCTGTGGGTCACCCACCAGCTGCCACTTTCCTAGGACTGGATACAGGTGGATGATCTGGAAGTTGTGCCAACACATGGGCCTGCCCTATAAACTCTGGAGCTCAGTAACATAAATCTTGGAAGGTCTGAGGGGTGACGGGCAGGGCAGCGAGGAACAAGAGGATCCTTAGAGAGTGTCAGACTCTGAGCAGCAGAGGGACCCTGGGAAATGCTCCTTTTCTCACACTCACTCCTGGGAATATGGAAGATATAGCAGATCTCACAGAGCCACCAGGAAGATGAACATGTAAGTACTAGCGCAATGTTTTCATACACCTATTCACAAAGTGTTACCTTCCTTTCTTCCCTCCTTCTAGGTGCCAGCTGCTGAAGACCAGATAGGCAAGGGTGGTTCCTTTGCTCTCTAAGTCCAGTGTAGCAAAGAGGAGACACTATGCAAGTCCAGGGGTGGAGGGAGACAGTGTTGTGGTAGGTGATGATGGCAGATGATGGCAGCAAGAGCAGGTACTCTCTGGGGACCAGCGGATTCATGCTCTCAACTGCTCCCTGTGAGGGAGGCCCTCACTGGATGTGAGAGAGCAAAAAACCAAGTGGTTGGGGCTGGGGAGGTCTCAGGGAGGAGGTAATGGGATGAACAAGCTCTTCACAGGGACCCAGAAACAGGCACCAAGGCAGGGAAGCCAGCAGCATCAGACAGACGAGAAGTTCGTGAGGCCAGTGCTCTCCTTTCAACAAGGGCCTGTAGCAAAGAGAGGCCTGGTTTACAGGAACACGAGTGGTTAAAATTCAGGCATCAGAGGAGGGTCACTTGAGCCCAGGAGTTGGAGACACTATCTCAGAAACAAAATAATTACAATACTTCAGCTTCAACATCTAAAAGATATGGATTTGTATAAGTGTGTGTGTGTGTGTGTGTGTGTGTGTGTGTATGTGTTGGTATTGAGGTTTAACTCAAGGCCTGACACTGTCCCTTAGCTTTTTTACCCAAGGTTAATGCTCTGCCAGTTGAGCCACAGCTCTTCGGTGGTTAAATGGAGCTAAGAGGCTGGCTGATTTCAAACTGTGATCTTCGGATCTTCTCCCCCTGGGTAGCTAGGATTATAGACATGAACCATTAGCCTCTGGCTTTTTTCTTTTCTTTTTTGATTGGTCCTGGGGCCTGAACTCTGGGCCTGGGTGCTGTCCCTCAGCTCTTCAGCTCAAGGATAGTGCTCTACCACTTGAGCCACAGCGCCACTTCCAGCTTTTTCTGCTTATGTGCTGAGGAATCGAATCCAGGGCCTCATGTATGCAAGGCAAGCACTCTACCACTGAGCCACCTTTCCAGCCCCCTGGCTTTTTTCTTTTTGACAGAGACTCCCTATATTGCTCAAGCTGGCTTTGAACTTATAATCTCCTTGCTCAGCTCTTATAAAGCTGGGATTACAGGTATACCCATCACAATTAGCTCTTTCTGAGCCTCTTCAGCTTTAGCTCAAGTTTTGGAGACTCGGTGTATTTCATTTCAGCTTCTCTATCAATTTCTTGGGGTCTTGGGTGAGTCAGTCTTCACATTCCTCATTTTAGGCCTCCTTCTTCTCTTGAATAGAGTCCAAAAAGAGATTTTTCAGTATGAAGTCTGTCAGCTAGCTCCACAGCATCCCAGAGAACTTGTTAGAAATGCAAATTCTAGGCACCTCTCCCAGTCCCACCAGTCCAAAACTCTGAGGCCAGACAGAGGCAGCCTCTAGTTCCTTAACAAGCCCTTCTGGGGATGCTGATTGGAACCATGGGGTTAGCAAAGTGGGAAGCCTTCAGCAGTAACAATTGCTTTGTGCTCTAAGGTATTGGGCGGTAGCAGCATTCTTTTTAGCCAAAAATATTTCTTGCCTAAGAAAGGTAATCTTTCAGGTAAGAAGAGACGCTGAGTTTTCTATAACCAGAACCCAGTGAACCTCAGAAATATGTGGTTGGCTTTGGAAGCTAGATTGATTTACTTCTTTTTAAATAGGAAGTCTCAAATAGAGAGGGGAGAAGAAAAGAGAGAAGGGAAAGGAAGGAGAGGAGAAGGGAGGGAGAGGAAAGGAGAACTGCCTTCTCTTTTCAGCTCCAAAACAATGACTCACTGTGGGGTGTGCACCTGCGCTTCAGGGAGCGTCCTGCTGTCCATGTCCTGGACGGCCAGACCTCAAGTCCAGCCACAGAGAGCTGTGGTGGTGGCTGTAACAGAGCTGCATGGCACACTATAGGGAGGTTTGGTGTCCAAGGCATAAGAAGGGTATGTTTTTATCTAAAAGATGTAGCGTTCGCAATGTGGACTTAGGGCTCAAAGTCATCAGAAAGATGCAGAGAGAATTGCACAGTACTGCGTGGACAGGACCACACCCAGATGGCCCCTGGGTGCCTGGGGTCGCACTTGGTATCTCTGTGCCAATAACAAGCCTTACACCAGGTGATGGTGGTTCACACCTGTAATCCTAGCTGAGATGTAAGGATCGCAGTTCGAAGCTAGCCTGGGTGGAAAAGTCCCGGAGACTCTTATCTCCAATGAATTAGCGAACAGCCGGAAGTGGGGATGTGGCTCAAGTGGTAGAGCGCCAGCCTCGAGTAAGCAAGCAGCGGGGACGCCACGCTCACGAGGGGTTACTGTCCCCTAACAACAAGCAAGAGGCGGAGAGGGACGGCACGGACAAGGCACACACAGCGGGCCCTGGAGAGCTGGGCGCCACGGGTCCCGGCGGGGGCTCAGGCGAGTGAGGAGGGCCAGCCCCCCCGAGGGCTGGTCGGTGACGAGCCCGGGAAGGCAAGGCCCGCTTCCCGGCACTGCGGCCCCGGCACCAGCCGCCCCGGCGCCAAGCCCCGTCTCCTCCGTCTCTCCGGGAAGGGGCTCCCGCCTTTCTCACGTAGCTCTGGCCCCAGAGCAAGGCGGTCGGTGGAGGAAGCAGCCCGCACGAGCCGGGCGGCGGGGACCACACGGAGCGCGCGCGAGAGGCCGGGCGCGGCCCAACGCCTGCTCACCCTCCGCTCAGTCCCTTTAACCCCAAAACTTTCTCCCTCCACTTGGGACCCCAGCACGTTCACATTGGCAGAGCTGCGGCCACTCGGACCCGCCCCCTCTCTTTAACTATTGGTGAGCACCAGCATCCATCCCCAGGACAGGCCTCGTAATGGTCCGCGCTTTTGTCAATCAAGCTTGGGCGGGAGAGTGGGCGGGGCCAAGCGGAGGAGCGACACGCTAGCCTCCCCGCCCTCCCTGCTTTTCCGAGTCCCAGCGGGTGACCTGGAGATGCCTCAGGCGGGGGCCGAAACTGGCGCGTAGCTCTGCCGCGGAGCCGTGCGGGGCCCCAGGGACTCACCGATGCGTTGTCCCACTGGAGAGCTGAATGGGTTCCCCAGGAGAAAGTCCATCGTCGCTGCTGCCACTACCACCAACCCCAGGAATCAGCTGACAGCAACCGCCAGCGCCGCCGATCCGTCACGTGACTCGCCGGACGGCCCGCGGGAGGTGCTGGAGGGGGCGGGGCCGGAGCTGCGGTGCGCAGCCACAGGTCCCGCCCCAAGACGTGGAGGGCGCGGCCGGCGGAGGGCGAGGGCCCAGCCGCGGCCCCTCGGCGCCGGCTGACGTCACTCCCAGCAGAGGGGCGGGGCCAGAGAGGCCAGGTCTCTAAGCCACGCCCCGTATGGCCACGCCCTCACGCGTTCCGGAGTGATTGTATCACCTAGATTTCAAGGTCCATGCAGCCAGTTGGAAACTGGGTCTCAGGAGCTCGGGCGGGTGTCACAGTATCTTAGTTTCCAGTCCTTTAACTGTCGGGGATGACCCTAAGAGGGTGACAGCTACTCGGTCCTGAAGAAACTCCTGTTTCTCTTCGGGTCTCCTCGCACCAGGATGAGACCTCTCTTTTGCGGCCCAGATCACCAGGAGTGAAGGTCTGTGTTTGTCCCCTGAGATCAAGGGCAGACTTAATGACCTGCGGCCGGGCCAGCCAACACCCGAAGCCAGCGCGCAGTGGGGCCTTTACCTGGTCCTGCTGTGGTCCAAACAGCGAGCTTTCATTTCTTCTATATACTGGAATTAGATCAACCACATTTTTTTTTAAATGCCCACTGCCTACTGCTTACCTGTGAATTTGGAGATTACATTTATAACTTGTGAACTTTGGGGGGCACATCCAGACTATAGTGGGATGAGTCTTCGAGGTAGCAGACCTTTACAACCCAAGGTCTTAGAAAAGCTGGGCTTAGGGGCTGGGAAGGTGGCTCAGGGATAGAGTGCTGGCCTTGCATGCATGAGGCCCTGGGTTCAATTCCTCAGCACCACATAAGCAGAAAAAGCCGGAAGTGGCCCTGTGGCTCAAGTGGTAGAGCTCTCACCTTGAGCTGAAGAGCTGAGGGACAGCACCCAGGGGCAGAGTTCAGGCCCCATGACCAACAACAACACAAAAAAGCTGGGCTTAGTTATAAAAGCTGTTCCATGTGAGCAACGAAAAGAAACCAGCAAGGAAAAAACATTGTTCTATCAAGTCATTTAGGTTTTTGTTGTCATTTATATTGGTCCTAAGGCTTGAATTCAGGGCCCCAGTGTTATGCTCAAGGCTAGCACTCTACCACTTGAGCCACAAGTCCACTTCCAGGTTTTTGCTGTCAGTCACATTTTTTTTAACCACATTGTTTTTTTAATGGTCACTGGCTTCTTTGAGAATGTACAAAAAACTGTGAACCTTTCAGAAAGAAAGAGAGAGAGAGAAGGAAGGAAGGAAGGAAAGAAAGAAAGAAAAAAAGAAAGGAAAGAAAGAAAAGAAAGAAAGGCCAGTGTACAATTTTATTTATATCCTCAGGGACTTTCTTGGATCTCAACTACAGCATTGGACATAGTTCTCAACCATCTTTCCCATATTTATGATTCTACTATCTTCAACCATCCTAGCTGTGTAGTCAGATGACACCCACACACTAGATACTTGATCACTTGGTCACGGCTCTTCTGAAAAAAGCACAGGGATAAATCCAATAACCAGTGCATTGCTAGTATTCCCACTGCAGAGTGCTTTAGGAATTATTGATCATGATTTCTATGAATTTTACATCTGAAAGGCTATGTTGGCTTTGCCCAAATTGTGGATGATGGAAACCTTGGAAGCAAATGCCTTGTGGAATTCATTTGTTTACTTCTTTGAGTGGCCATGAGGCCAACATACTTACTGTGCACTATATAAACTGCCTTGAAGTGTTTGGAGAATGCTATGAGACCTGTTACAAATGCTTTTCCCCTCACTGCTGCTCCAGATGCTTAGTGAGTGCCAGGATACTGTGTCTACTTTCTCGTGATGATCTAACACAATGGCTGGCAGATAAAATTTAAACCAGTCTATCAGAAACTATTTGAGTATAAAGGGTATGTATGTATACTGAAGATGACCTTCATATTAAGTAATTTCTGAATCTTCATTTAAACATACTGCTTGATGGTATAGTGGCGCTGTGGCTCAAGTGGTAGAGCACTAGCCTTGAGCTGAAGAGCTGAGGGACAGCGCTCAGGCCCAGAGTTCAGGCCCCATGACCAGACTCCCCCCCCCCCAAAAAAAAAAAGAATGACAAGTACTACATAAATGAAACTATTGTTTCCTAATTTAAGCACTTTTAGACAAAAAAAAATCAGGATATGCTGCATCCACAATTTAAAGACAATAGCATAAGCAAAGTGGAGCCAGCCAGGTTCTGTTGGCTCATGCCTGTAATCTTAGCTACTCAGGAGGCTGAGATCTGAGGATCGTGGTTCAGAGCCAGCCTGGGCAGGAAAGACTGTGAGACTCTTATCTCCAATTAACCAACAAAAAATTGGAAGTGGGGCTGTGGCTCAAAGTGGTAGAGCACTAGCACTGAGCAAAAGAGCTCAGGGACATTGCCCAGGTCCTGAGTTCAAGCCCTATGACCTGGGGGGGAAAAATTATAGTAGGGTAGTGTCTGAAAAACAGATAGGTTTCATAATCTCATAGCAACTACTATTAGGTAAAAGACACCGAGACTGGACTACAAATATTAAAAATGTGATCTTTAATAATGTAAGTACAAAATTTTGCTTCTTTATACAACTGTAATGGGATTTGGACCAAACCACTAGGATTTATTTAAAAAACAAAATAAAACAATGATATAAAACTGCAAGAAGGCCAGAATCCAAAGTTTTTCCTCTAATAGTACCAAATACCACAAGGTACAGATTATTATACAAATGTGTACAAATCTTAAATACAAATACAACAGGGCTGGATTTTAAAGGAAAACAGTGAAAAGGCAAGTCCTGACCAGGACATTAGCAACACATACAACTGACAATAACTGCACTACCCATATCTTCCTGGCCCCTGAATACCCTGTTGTCTATCAGGAAGCTCCCCTGGGTACCGAGGTGGCATGGTGTAAGGTCCTGACACATGAATGCAAGCTGCGATGTCTGCTTTCTTGATTTTAGTTCCCCTGTGCTCCTTTCCTTCTGTGTTTGTTGATTAAACTACTCTGGACTGAGAAAGAGGCAGGGCAGCCAGCGTAGCTTTGGGAAGCTGCGTGCCAGGATTGGCGGGGAGGCGGGAAGGAACTAAGTGGGATGCAGGCTGGCTGCACTATCCCCAGACTCCCTGTGGCGCCATCTGTGCCATCGAGGCCAGGCCAGGGAAGAGCATGCTTACTTCAGAGCTTAGTTTGGGCAGGGTCTCACATCAAGCTTAAAAACCACCCCAGTGCTCCTTTCCTACTGGGAGGAGGTGTGGTTCTTTGGAACTGAGGGCAGGCGATTTAATTTTTAACATTATTGTTTGGTTGGTTTGTTGGTACTGGGGTTTGAACTCAGGGCCTCGTACTTGCTAGACAGGTGCTCTACCACAGAGCCTTACTGCCAGCCCTCACTTAACATTATTGAAGGCCATGAAGTTCTCTATAGAGTTAGAATCCTAACATAATGACTCCTTTTTGAGGTATGCTTTGAAATGTAGATGATTTGGGATTTTCAGAACAGACCAGAGGAAGGGAGGGAGAAATGACAGGTCTGTATGTTCCACATGCTGCTGCTGGTGGAGAATTCTGTAGTTAAATTATCTATACAGAAATTTACAGGATAAATTAAAATCTAAGAAACTTCAGAGAGTTAAATATACATAATTAAAACACACATTCACACACATATATAAATAGACCTACATGAGAATTGAGTATTTTTTTTTTTTTTGCCATTCACTTCCGTGTGGAATGTGGAATGTTCCTATCTGCCCACCGGGGGAACCGGCAAGACGAACCCAAGAACCACCCTGGGCCCGGCTGCCCATCCACCACCACCTAGCAGCTAAGCAGCAGAGTCTGGGGATTTGGTGGCCACCCTAATGCTGCCAATGAAAGATAGCAGCTCTTGGCTTTGCAGACCCAATATTCTAGCAGATTCACCTGGTGACACTGACAGCTTTATTCACGTCAAGGTTTTTTCTTTTTGCTGCCAGCAATCTTATAGCAACTTGGCCTTTACTGAGGCTGGCAAGGGTACCAATGCTTACAACAACTGAGACCTGGAGCGGGTATAGCAGGACTACAGAGAAGCCCTACTCAGCTCACCTAGGCCAGGTCTAGAGCTGCAGTGGGAAAGGTCTTAGCACCTTCCCCAGGACATAGCAAGTTGAAAGGCTTTGGACTCTTGGTCAGCTGTCATCATCCCATAATCTTTCTCATTACATTTCCGACTGAAAGACAGGTAAGGCAAATGGTCAGTGATGGGTCTGGAGGTACAACTGAGTTTGGAAACAGAAAAAACAAAATCACATTTTAGCTGTCTATGAGGAGATGCGTGTGCATCCAGAACAAGTCCCTAGGCCCCTTACACTGATTTTTTTTTTTTTTAAGGCAGATTTATCCACAAGGGAATAAAAAAATCCAAGCCCACATTCATGCCAAAGTTTCCTTGTGGCTAAACCTTTGCCCTTCCATAAAATTATTAAAAGCAAAGTAGTTACAGTCCTATGTATATACTGTACATTATATACACACATATGTATAGATAAAAAACTTTAAAACCTATACCCAGACGAAGGGGCCAGCGGAGGGGTGTGAACAGTCGTGTCTACACAAACCAGCAAAGGGGCGGAGCAGGGCCTGTCCCAGGGCGGCTGGCTGTCACAGTCCAGGCATGATGTAGGCAATGTTGTCTAGTGTGTTCGACTATAAAAAAGAGAGTGTTCAGGTGAGAGCTTTAGTGTGGGTCCTCATGAGCGGTGAATGGAGTCGCTGTTATGCTAGGAGTTTTCTGTGCACCTCTCCATGAATCCCAGGGACACTGGTGGCTCATGCCTGTAATCCTACTCAGGATGCTGAGATCTGAGGACTTCAGTTTGTACTTCTAATTAACCACCAGGAAACTGGAAGTGGAGCTGTGGCTCAAAGCAGTAGAGTGCTAGCTTTGAGCAGAAAAGCTCAGGCATCGTGCCCAGGCCTGCAGGTTAAGTCCCACGGCCACCACCAAT